TACCAGCCATTTGTAAGCACAAAAACTACAATCACATGAGCAAACATCAAGCATGCTCTGAAGTCCAAGCACAACTGCACCCTGACTCCTCCAGGGGCCACTAGCCCAACTTGGCCCCCATGTGCCGAGAATTTCAGGTGACCTTGATCTCAAGGATAAGCTGGGACATCATTTGCCATACCGTGTCTTTGGCCTGGGATTCCAAGATAACTTAGTTTCCTGAACATTTCCTCCAGGAAAGCCCAGACCATGGGTCCAGCAGACTGATGGTGGTTCAGGAGTTTCAGCTCAGATAACGGCCCAAGCTGCTGGTGGTTACAAACTCCATCTATAAAGCAGGGCCAGATAAGCACACTTGAAGTTTCAGCCAAGCACAGCTAAAGGCAAGGAACTACATAGGGCAAAGATCAAAACCTACCACATGCTCAGTATCAACATGAGGTGGCAGCCACTAGCTCAGTGAGGTGCCGTCACTCTTGCTGTCCAACCTGAAGGTGTGGGCACATAAGCCACACATTAAAGACAGAAGCAGAGAAAACACGCCGTGTCCTCAGTTTGCATGCCCGTGGATGCTGTTCCTTGCATTCAGGGAACCTGATTCTCAGGGATAATCTGAATTTCAATGTGTCAAATTTTCCATAAATACCAGCTTCTGATGGCTAGTTTTTCTATCAAGTAGCAGCAATGGAAAATGACAGTCTGAGCTAGCTTTAGGTATGGCACCCACAAAGGTTCAGACAGCGTTGTCTGGCACTAGACATGGGCAAGAGGGAAGAGGTGAACTCATTTTGAACTGAGGGGACAATGGGAGAATTTCCTGAAGCCAAGTGTTCCCTGATACGTGAAATAAAACTAGGTTTAATTGACGTTTTCCTTATTTGCTCTCAAGTGTAGATTTAAGAGAAGGCAAAGTGTTACTGACTAGAAGAGAAGCCAGAACATCAGGTATGGATTTGGTTGTGTGAACTACTACCTAACTGCTCTGCTAAAGCCAAGTCATCTAAGAGGTGACAGAGGACAGCACTAGTCTGGCCCTTTCAACTGCCTCTGTCCCATGGGCTAAGGAGAAATGGGCTAAGGAGAAAATGAAAGTAAAATAAGGTTACACAACAGTGACTGTCTCCCTTTTAGATCACTCTAAAGATGAAGAGCGATTCCAGAATCTAAAGGAATTACGTTATAGTTAAAAGCCAGATGATGAAAGGCAGCAGAGGAGGAAGGAGAGCATGGATTATTGATGAATTTAATGAATGGGCTTGAGTTTCTATTTCCCCTTAAGTCCAAGAGCATAGCGTGGCACACCTGAGTACCTCCAGGAGGGGAAGAAGGCCACGTGAGAAATTTAGCTCAACTTCAAACCCAGGTCTCTGTGTTTCTTCAACTAAAATATGGCCTTGATGTCCTAACTTGGCCCACTCAGTATCAAACTACAGTTCTCTAAGCCAGGAATTTGAGTTATGATCAGGGTAAAAACATAAATAAAAACTAACAATCTAAAAGGCTTCAAAAAGCCAATGTTGATAACAAATGGTCTAGCTTGCTCAACAGACCTTGCATTAGGTTTTTTGGACATACTTGTTTGATCATATTTTTCACTTTTGGGGGAATACAGACCTGTTCCTGGCTAAAAGTTCAGGGTACAGGTTATGTGCCCTCCACAACCTGCCTCTGCCTTATCAAGGAGACAGAATGTGCATGTTGACTGAGGTCCAGGGCAACACAGCCCTGTAACTCTATCCTGCTGTGGCTGACTACCAAGCACCCTTTACAGGAAAGAGAACAGCCGCTATTCTTAAGAGAAGCAAAGCAACTATGACAACTTGGTCACCATTTAAGTGTCCTAAGGAACTATGGATTCAAACTAAACACTAATGAGTAAAGACACATTTCTGTCAAAATCTCAAATCCAGTACTCAGAGGTACAAGCAAGGTAACAGCTGAAACATGTGCATAAAGAAATGTGTTGTTCTTTCTCAAGATCTAATACAGGATTTAAAGAGTCCAACATTTAATTGGAAAAGGGTCATACAGAATTGCCATTGTTTCATGCCATATGCTTTGTGGAATTGTCAGAATATGATAAAAGGGGGCTTTTCCACGTTTATGGACTAAAATCAAGGACAAATGTCATCTTATTATTCCAGGCAACTGCAGCTAGACGCCTCTGCCATCCTCTGAGGAAAGGGCTGTTCTCCTGAACACAGACCTGAGTGCGCGTGAATGAAGAAAAAAGAATCAAGGCTGGAGTGTTAGTTCAAGGCTAAGGGCTCTTGTTGCTCTTCTGCAGGACCCTGGGTTCAGATTCCAGTACCCACAATCGTAACTCTGGCTCCAGGGAATCTGATGCCTTCTCTGGCTTCCACACACACACACACACACACACACACACACACACACACAGAGCAGACTTGCATCAGGTATACTCTGCACTTTCCTCACTTCAGTGACAGTTGGTCTTCATACTGGTCGAAATTCAAAACAAAACAAGGCTGATAAAGAGAGATACAGAAAAGGAGAAAGTTCCATCTGACACTTTCAGGAACGGTGAGGAGCTATTTCAGCCGCAAGTGAGATGTTTAACTGTCCCATGGTTATGCTCTTTAGGGACTCCGTTTTTCCCACAGGAAACACAGCCTGGTGGACTTCCCCATAGCAATGCTCTGTAAGGAGAAGCCACATTCTGAGTCTGACACAACTGCCTCTGCAGTTGCCATGGAGACCATTCAAGCAAATTCTCAGAATAAACAACAGTGTTTCATTCTGCCTTGAAGGGTTATAAAATCAGGATGCATTCTCCTAAGAGGATCATTCCTATCAAAATGGCCAAAGAAAACCACAAGGTAATTAGGGTCTGTGGCTACTGTTGGTGACTCTCAGTGCTCTACAGAGATGAGTACAGCTTCGTTTTCAAAACCCAATCCTAGAGACACAAGACAGTCACAAACTTGTTTTGACTAGTTAGAATGAACAAGGGATATAGAAGTCACAAAAGAAAAAAGACCTCATAGTGGGAAAATAAATTCAGTGGATCTAACTCAGAATTTCTCAGCTCCGAGAGAGAAGCTCAGAGTATAGAAAAAGTTCTGTGAAGAAGGTCACGGCCAAAGTTCATGGCTGAAGAATAATTCTGGGAGAGTGGTCATTAGACCATCCTTGTCATCTCTACCTTGCTGTCACTTCAGGTATGACTTTTTTCTTTCTGCAATTCCACTTAATATTAACTTGGAAAATAACATGCACATGGACCAGTGGAGGGCAAGCAGTTACTATTTCAAGAATAAACAAGTAACACCTCCCCACGCGCACTCACTCACTCCTACCTCTGCAAATTTCTAAATCAGAGATCCATGTATCTCTCTATATGCTTATGTACCAAGGAAAAAAAACTAGGCCAAAGACTAGATGATTCTAATACCATGTCTCTGCTAAAGTCAACTAAAAAGTGAGCTCTTAAGGCCAACTATAAATCATATGCAAGAAGGGAACTTGAATGGGTCAGAAAGAACTTTAGAACATATAATTTTACCTTATTTTAGGCCTTATGGAGACTTTTGAAACTCTGAAACATATTTAAGAAAATGAACTGCCACTATCAGAAAAATTATTCCTATAATTCCATGACAATCCCTTTTCATGAGTACTTTAATAGTTTGGAAATATGTTTGTATCACAATAGCCTGAAAATGATCACTATTTCAAAAAAACCTAGAGCGATTTGTTTTTCCTGACTCGTTTGCTCTGCTCACCCCACTGCTACTGTCACCTCCAGTGGCATGGCTTACACCTGCAACAGTTATGAAATCCCTGTGATGCCTTGAATCCAGTTCAAAGAATACTAAAAGTTCAATGTGTCTAATATACAGCATCCTTTTCTTCAAACCCTCTTCCACCCAAACTGTAAAGATGCTTAAATTCCAAGAAATTACTCTTAAGGGCACAGAAACAAAGCCAGTAGCTTCATTTTAAAATGAGCAGAAAGTGCTTGGCTCTTTCATCTATAAATGAGGGATGAGGTAGATTCTGCCACAGTGAGAAACCTCAGGAGGAAAATTTGAAGGCTTAGTTTTATTATTTCTAAAACTGGGAGGAGAGTGATCTCAAAAGTCTTTCCTTTTCTGTTGATGAAATCTAAACAGCAAACAGCAGAAGGCTGTTAGATGAAATGCTCTATAATGATGCTCTATAATGATGTAATACCTGAGGAGGCTGGTTTTGCTCTTATTCTACAATAAACCAAGTATCCTAACTCATGCGTTTTCATTCCAGGTATTAATCTGCGAGGCAAATGCTTTCTGTCCATTGTAACTAGGTTACATTGTAACTAGGCTCCATTCATGACATCAGCACATCTTCTGAAAGTATGGACATGCACTTCAGACAGGGAGCTACTCAGCTTCCCTTGCAAAGCTCAGAGAAAACTAAGATCTTCAGTGAGTAAAATGCGGTTCATCATATACAAAAAATTACACAGTACACATTTTGTTCATTTCTTTAAGCTGATACATTACTGTAGTTGGTTGGTTGCCATGATTAATTCCAAACAACGTATGATACAGTCCCTTCCCTTTAAGCTGTTTGTTGCTTGCCTTAAGGACAATATGCTGGGAATATGCTGACAACAGCATTTTTATGTCATTCTATATACCAAATAACAATATAATGTTTCAAATGTTCAGAGAATTTTCTGCTGGGTTTTAAAGCACATACAAACAGCACCTCATCTGCTATAACTGGATAAATATAACTCAAATATGAAACAAGATGGCGATAATACTCGGACTGAGGAAAAGCTATCTACTCAGGAAAATCACCAACTTCTTAAGAATCCACAAATTACCTCCACTAGACAATATGCCCTATGCAGTGTGAAAGGTACAAGGTTTTAGGAGAAAGAATTCCATAAAATACCACATTTTAACACAGGCAATATTGGTAGTTTAAAAAGGGAAAAAAAAAGTTACTATATGAGCAGTCAGTATCCGAGCATTTAACAAGCATGCTAAAATGTGTGACCCTCTTTATATCTGAAGTGTGCTGTCGATGTGTGGTAGGGTAGTCAGGTGGCATCAGGTTACTCATGCTGCCGGAACAAAGAGCAAGGACACAGGACAAACTCCCCACCAAGAGTCTCCCACCACAGAAAGAAGATTCCAATCACAGCATATTCTCTTCAAACGTGTTTCAATATAATAACAGGGCATCTCAAATGTAAACTTATTCCCACTCTTTATTCTCCGAATTTGGCCAAATTAAGCATTTGACATAATCCTGCCACAAAGCAGGGAATGAGCAGGACAGCTGTGTGATAAGGTCTCTGCCACTCTCCTGATGTATCAGCAAGTCAAAACCAATGACTTCTAAAGAGGCCATTTCTTCTTTCAATGTTAACTCAAGGGTTAAACCTGAAAGAAAAGCTGTTAGTGCAAAAGGAAACACACAGACACACTCCACAATCACAGAAATTTGCCTGACAACTATTGATTCATTCCAGTGACAATTTTGCTGTAAGTCAGGTAGAATATTCAAGCAACAATTTCTCCCTCCAATATGAGAAAACTAGCAGCCCCCACAGTGTTAATGGCACCCATGTCAGACAGGCCTCTTTTGTTTTGACTAGACATGTAAAGGCCAGAACCCCACAGGGGTTGAAGCAGTAGAAGGGATTTGCAAAACCAGTGGACCTCATGGCACCTGGAGCCGGCATGAGTGCACTACCTCTTCTCTGAAAGAACCACCCATGATTCCTCCATTCTCTTACATACTCAGTCGAACAGGCTTTTGCTCCCACCACAATAATCAGCAGTGGTCCTCCAAAGCCTCATCTGCTTGACAACAGTGAGCTTTGAGCTGCTGATATATGTGATTACAGTAACAAATTTTATAAAACTTCCACTTTTTCTCCAAAAGATGAATCACAAGTAAATCTGATAGTCAATGTGACCACCATGCACAGTCTAGTTTGAAAAAGTACTAATGGTCACAGAATTGCTTTAAGAATGTGATTTTTCACAAGCTTTAGGTAAAAATAATTTTAAAGGGTTAATTTTCATTTACATAGCCAATACATCTTATTTACATATATAAGATTGATTTTATATACAACTTTATTGAAATAAGGTCTATATTTTAACTGGCAGGTACCTGTCTAAATAATCTCTTATCCATAGCCAGTTTGGATGGTCCAAGCTCATCCCCACAGAACTGGGTACTCGATGACTTTTACTCTAGGAGTGGACTTGCATGCTACCGGTGGCACAGAAGACAAAGCAAATTTGACTCTGAGGCCCTGGAAAAAGAACTCTGACTTCTAGGACATTTATTACTGCTTATTGCTGCTGCAAACAATATGAAATTCTAATGTGAGTTCATTTCTTCCCTTTAAAAAACACTGATTTTTTTTTCCCTACTGATTTAACTTTAAAAAGGTAATCTTTGTTCTTTAACCCTCAGAGAACTGGTATATTTAGGCAAGTAACCAAAAAGTAATCAAAAACATGTTTTTGCCCAAGGTCTACAGAGGGTTAAAGTGTAGGACTTCCCCGTAACTTGTTATATAAGGCACCCTTATTCCATTTTTTTCTTAAAAGAAACTTTTTCTTTGGTTTCCTGCAGTTTTTCAGTGAGTCTATCCTTTGTCTCTTCCATTTTTTCTGTGATGAGCTCCTTGGTTTCTTCCATTCTGTCCTGCAAATATTCCTTGACAGGTGGTGGGGTTGACATGTAGCCACGACTGCGCAAATACTTCACAGTAAAGGACGTTCCTCCCAAGGTCACAGTGTAGCGGGCAGGTGTTGCTATCTTAAGAGAAAACAGGCAAATCACCAACTGGCTATAAGCAAAATTATGCTGAAATTTAAATTCTTGGTAATAATCAGCATAAGTTATTTTAAAAATTAATTTGAATTGAATTTTTGCAAATTTCATACAATGTATTTTGACCATATTTGGATTCCCTCCCATATCTGCATTCCCCTTACTAAGTCCCCACCAAATTTCTGTACTCTAATTTTTATACACATATACAAAAATTATATATATTTGCCTATAGAGTCAGGTTTGTGTCCCAGATGCCTTTCGGTGTGCGTTCATCTACTGCAGCTTGGTCAACCATTAAGAGTTGCACTCTTAAACAAGACATATGGCTGGCGTAGCTGGCAGGGCTGTTAAAGGCTCAGGCTGACAACCAAAAAGACAAGAGTTCAGTTCCTAGCACAGATTTCTTTATTGTCTAAGAATGAGGTAACATCCTATATGGTTTGCCTTCCTAACAAGGGATACTTTTTCTGCAGTCATTTTAGAATGTATGTCTTTAGACCATATCGCTGAAGATTTCAGAATTATCACAGCCAGAAACACTGATACCCTTAACTGGTGGCAGGTTTGCCCAAATACCAGAAAGAGGGCGTGGTACAACTAACAGTAACAAAGATGCACCTGTTTTTTGTGCCCTAAAATATCTGCTATGTACTGTATTTCTGGAGTCAAGCTGAAGCCAGACTTGAAATACTGGGAGGCTGAGCAAGAGTCAAGTAGTTCTTTGCGGCATTCATTTTTGCTCTACTCCTAGATCATTATCACTGACTTTCTCAATTTTTGTGTTTTGGATAGAGGTATTATAGAACCTCATATTTTCAACTGAAAAATGATATTAATATGGCTAAATTCTACAATTTACAATGAGTCTTCTAACATAAAAACTCACAGGTATAGAAACTTCGCATAAAGGCAATGTTTTCTGTACCTGGAGAACAGTCATGTACCAGTCAAAAATGAGAACATCCAACAACTAAGCCTGAAGTTTTCACACTAAACAACCTGAATTAAGCCTTTGTAATTTCACTTGCTAAGGAAAGATGAGCTATTAAAAGTAGTAAAATAAATGCTAAATTTCATTAACAAGTCAGGGGTGTGAGGGTCTGTCTGATCCTGGCAGATGTTGGTTTACCCGTTTTGAAGGTACTTCTTCCTAAAGTCATCATTTTATTCTTGTACTTTATTCATTAGAAATACAAAAGATGAAAGTGTTTTGTTGTTTTTTTGGTCGATTGTTTTTTGACAGGGTCTCCCTAGTCACAGCCTGTCTGGAAATAGTGTTATTTCAGTTAAAAAAAAAAAAGATTCGGAGCTAACGAAGAATTTACAGGTTGTCAGTTGCATGAGGAACCCACCTTAAACATGGCGTATGCTGTCAGGGCATTTCCACTCTGGGAATTTTTCAGGACATCTACTATACTGTCGGGTAACCCGATGAGCTCTAAGAAAGGGATGACGTTCACACCTCTGTGAAATAAGCATGACATAAGTTATGTATGAACAAGCTTTTAAAAACAGTATTTTCAAGAGATTATCTGAGGACACACAAATCACAAATTTATTATGTGTATTAATTAAATATTGTTTGCACAGGAGGTGAAGGTAGCGGGATCAAGAGTTGAAGGCTAGTCTGGGCTACATCTTAAAAAAAAACACAACTAAACCAAATCAACAAAATATAAAATAAAATTAGTTTAGCAGTTTATTCTATACTATCAATCACTTGATTTCATTGTAACACCTCTTAAAGAGCACTATACATCAAATAGTACCATCACCTTCATCTCACGTCTGCACAAGGACATCATCCTAATTAGCATATTTAAAAAAGTAGAAGCATTTATTAGAGCAAAAGTAATGGCTTTAAGTAAATAAAGCAGGCGAACAGGATCCGAATCCTTTGCCACATCCCCATTTCCTCATCCAAATACCATTTTCCTTAGCATGCTCCAAATCATACTTTAGGCGTGTCAAGTTTAGCAAGGGCTATTTCAACACTGCTTCTGTCGGTTTGACAAAACCAACTATTCTAAAACTATGCCTTTATTTATTAACAGATTAAAAGGCAGGCAAAGAACAATTGCCACAAATTCCAACAGATTCTTGGAGGGCAAAAAGGCAGAGAAAGTCCCCAAGTCTGTAAAAGACCTGACTTCTGAATTTTTAGTTTTCTCATTAAAAACATTTTGTTATACCCCTTTGTTCTGCACTTCCTTGATTGTGACTTTGTATACCTGTATCAGAACAAGGACATTCATCTACACAAACTTACAATTATCAGGGTCAGGAAATTTAATACACACAACAGTATATGGTTAATACAAAAATGTATTAACATAAAATCTGTAATTTCACTATTTATTTATTTGGTTTTTTTGAGACAGGGTCTCCCTGTAGCCCCAGCTGACCTGGAACTTGCTATGTATACCAGGCTGGCCTTGAACTCACAGAGATCTGCCTGCCTCTGCCTCCCAGGTGCTAGGATTAAAGGTGTGAGCTACCACACCTGGCAAAATCTGTAATTTAAAAACTGTCTCAATATACTCCTTTTCAGGGTGTCTTGCTTGACATAGATACTTTTGAGATGTCTGGGACAGCAAGTGCTCGATTTGGGACTGTGTGACTGTTTTCACCTAAGGAGATTCTAAAAGGAAGCTACATAGCACAAGCTGTGTCTGCTTTTGATGCTTTCTCCTGTCCTCTGTCCACCCCTGGCACTCCAAAGTAATTAAGGATGAGGCCTCACACTACTCCAATATGACTGTTTCTCTCCCTTGTCATTAAGAAAGAGAACTGATAATGGGTTCAGCCATTATCAGGATAGTTGTATACTTTTATCTTTAATATTAAAAATAATTGGGTTAACTGTGAAAAAAAGGTGCCCTTCTGATTTCTCTAATACTAAACAACCTGGGAGTACTCTTAATGGATATTGCTAATCATTATCCAAGAAGAACTAATAACATTTTCTAGCATCAAAAATAAACCCAACAGTGTCAAGAATTTTTTTCAAAGGTAAATTTCAGGGCTAGAGAGTTGGCTCAGCAGTTATGAACACTGGCTGCTCTTGCAGAGGACCTTGGTTCAGTTCTCAGCACTCACATGGTGGCTAACAACTGTCCCTAACTCCAGTTCCAGGGGATCTGGCACCCTCTTCTGGCCTCTGCAGGCACTGCATACATATGGTATATATACAAACACACACACAGGCAAAATGCTAATATTTATAAAATAAAAAAATAATTTAAGAAAAAAGGTAAATTTCAAAATCAACCAGGAGTCCAATCTGGCATCATCTACCTAATTATTCAATTTTCTTTTTAGACCACAATAGAATCCTATTAAGGTAAGGCTCAGTATTAGAGACTTGGCCTTTTTAAGGATATTCTTTAAGGTAATTATGTATGGTAACATCCTACCATAACTAGTTAGTTTTATCTTCTAGCACAAGGAGGATTATTAAATCATTTCACTAATTATTTCCTAGTTACAACTACCAGCATATCAAATCTATACATTTAACAACAATAACGAAGATGAAAGCTAGTAATGAATAAAGAAAAACTTTAATAAAACCAGATAGTTACATTTATTTTATTAATGAGGACCTGAGTCAAATAGGAAGATCCATACTTTGCCTCTTTCCAATCTAATGGGAATATGTGTGTCACTGTCAGTTTTATGGATGGTTCTACAGGCCTAAATACAACATCAGAAGCATGTTTACTCTCTGGAGAAAGGATGGTGAACATTGCTAGTGCTCTGGCTGAGAATGGATCTGTACCTTTAGGAACATGAGGCCCTAGACACAAAGCATCTAAAGGTAGGGACAATATGGTTGCTACTGAGCCACATGGAATTGGACAGAGTGAGCCACATAGAATAAGAGCAGTTGTGGTCAGAGAAAAAAGACCTTTACCACCTTCTGCCAGAGAGCAGCAGTTAGCATGTTCAGTGTAAAATAAACCTAGTAGCATAATTTAGCTCTGCCTGAAACAAAACACTGGTCAAGAGCCTGAGAACTTTACCATTTAGTGAGCTAAATACAGAATGGCATTTTGCTCTCCGCAATGCTGGCCATGGGAGTAACTAAGACAAACTGGTCAGAAACAACATGAAGCCAGTGCCTATCCCTCCACAAACAATACTCTCTTTCTTTTAATAATAAGTAGCCAAAAAGAAACAACTTTTTCTAGTTAGAACAAAATGTTAGGTGGATGGAAAACTGGAATTTAACACAGCCAGCTTCAGTTTTACATTCTATTAAAAAAAAGGGCAGTTTTGAAAACTTTTAGAAATATTAAATATAACACACAACATCTCATGTTTCCAAAGAGTAGTACTGCCACACCCCCACCCCCCCAACTTCACACAATCTTGGGAATGATACTGTAACTGTCCTGGCAGGGAAGATTAATTCTAAAGGGAGACATTGTGCCTTTACTTTCAGCTATCAGACTGTCAAGATAGTGGACCCCATAGAACTGGAATTTCCTTAGGATATGCTAAGAAAAGGAAAAGGCGAGGGCCCTGGTGCCAGCCAGAGGACAAGCGTGTTCACCTTACAGGACAGACAGGAGCCAAGACAATGGTGGGTCAATGATGGATGAGACCACAGCACGACCAGGACTGTTTAGCTATGCATACCTCTTGTCATCTATTAAATCTATACCTCACGTAGTACCACAAAGGCAGACTTAGGGGATGGGTTACTGGACTTCTTTATTTGCTTCTCTCCCCAGTGTTGGTCATACTGAATAAATCAGCTTTCTCTGCTTTCTATTACTTGTCTTTTAAACTACAATATTAAGAAAGAGGACCCTGGTTTTGATCCTAAAAGCTCAGGAAATAATATTTTCTGTTCAGTAGGTCATCTGCTTTTCTGCCATGGGGTGAATTCCATGTATACAATCATTACATTTTGCTAATGCCTTAATATCAAGTCATTAGATAGAATCAAACACTAAAAAGAACTCAGTGGACTTTGTTAAGGAGAACCTAATTCTAGGAGAGCTAACAAAATGGTAAGTTGCTGAAGTGGCTTCCCATGCTTAGGCCACTCCTCCGACAGGGCACATGGCCACCAAGGCAGAACTGCTGGCACTCCTCGCTCCACAGGGTGATGAATACAATTACTTTAAAAGGCAGGAACTGGATGTAACAAACAAGATGGATTTAGAAATTTTATATTCAACACAGGGAGGGTAGAACCATCAGATTCATTTCTGCATACAACAAAAAGCCTCACCACATTACCCAGAGCGAGTAAGAACAGCGCCTAGGCCTGTAGTAAGTTTATGTTTGTCAGGCTTTGGCGAAAGATATGCTGTGAATTTTCCACCAACACCATACAATAGCAAAACAAGCATCTTTTTATATCAATAAACACCATAGAAACATGTAAGTACAGAACTCACAGTACTGCTGATTTCTAAAACTTGGGACTTAAGACTGGTGGTGGCTCAGTGGATAAAGGTGCTTACTGCTAAGACTAAGTTCGATCCTCAGGACCTACATGGTGGGAGGAGAAAAGTAACTCCTCCAAGTTGTCGTCTGACCTCCACATGCACACACCTACCCACTCACCCATCCATACACAAATAAAAAAAATGTAATAAAAAACAAGAATTTGGTGAATTCAGGCCACTCTCCTGAACATGTAGATGCTGTCAGCACAGAGACCAGGCAGTGGCTCAAGGACCAGACAAACCTGCTCAGTTCCAGCCTGGGCTCCATTCCTTACCAGCTGAATTTGTTCTATTCTCCCTTGCCTGAGCTGTTTCCACATTCATAGCAGGAAGAACTAACTACTTACTCCATTTGGCTGGAGTAACATGGCACAGCTAAAAAACTGAGCAAAACAACTGTACCCAACAAGCAAATGTTAGATAGGCTCAATAAATATATGAACAGCTACAAAAAGTATTTTCTTCTATCAAAGGCATTAATGCATCAAAACAAACAAAAGCCCTGAAACTAGGGCTGGAGAAATGGCTCAGTGGCTAAGAACACTCTTGCAGAGAACTCAGGTTCAGTTCCCAGCACCCATGTTGAGTATCTCATACTAACTCTAGCTTTAGGAGGATCTGATGCCTCTGGCCTCCACAGGCACCTGCACTCACCTGCACTATCCTCACAAACACACATACACATGATTAAAAAGAAAATAAATCTTAAAAAAAAAATAGGAGCTGGCACAATGGCTCAGCAGGTAAAGGCACTTGCCTACAAACTTGATAATCCTCAGGACCCACATGATAGAGAGAACCAAGTCCTGTAAATTGTCCTCTGACCGCCACATGCAGTCCCACACACATATGCACACAGAATAAAATATTTTTAAAAGAGCTATTTAAGGCTCTCATTAGTATAAGCAAGAGGACTAACACTGCCATAAAACATGGAATGACAGTCAACTAAGCAAAAACTTACTTTATAGATGCGTAGTAAAATGTTCCAAACCAAATACCAGAAGTTATTAGATGCACAGGAATTAAAACTTTTCCATATTGTCTAAATGTTTTCTTAAACCGTTGATAAAGACTAATAGATTTATCTTGTAAAGGATCCGGCTCTTCCTTTTCCGAAGGAGTTTGGGAGGTAGCACTGGATGATAAAACCCTCTTGGATAAAACATCCTGCTCCCACCGTTCCTGTCGAAGTGCCCCCAGTTGCAGTGGCCGACCATCTAATAGATTCTTTTCCTTGGCAAGGCACTGAACAGCAGGTAAGTGTAGCCATTGCCTTTGAGGGTGTGCTGCCCAAACCACTCTATGTTCACCTCTGTGCAAAAGTAATGGTCCTTCTACACTCTGGTGGTGGTCAAAGAGACCAGCTTTCTGTGGTTCCAAGAATGTCCTGAATGCCAGCCGAGACACAGTCCGTGGTGCATTCCATTGCATTTTGAAGGGTGGTGACAGATTTCAGCTTCTACAGAAACCATATTTACGAAAATTATTAGATTATATATAGATTTCTATTTTAAGCTAAACTACATAGAAATTAATCAGCCATCAGGAAGAAAAAGGACTGCTACTCAATCCACAGGAATTACACCAAGGCAGTTTTAAGACACTGTGATTTCAAAATTTTGTAAAATATATTATTTAACTATAAGCAGTCTCCTTAGCAGACACTATGGAGGGTAATACTGGCAGGCTCTCTTACAACTAAAAATGGCATATTTACAGGGACTCTTTTGTTGTATAAATAAACAATAGTGCACAGATGGGTAAAGATGTTTTGGGGACAAAATTCCATGCACTTCCCTTTCAGACTCCAAGCCCAAGTCCCTTAGTAAAACGCTGACTACTTTACAGGGTTCTTACATAATCACAAGACTTCCGATATAAAGGAACTCTTTAAAAAAAAAGTTATTATCAAAAGTGCTAAAGTTTGATGAATAGTTGATACCAGTCTATAATTGCCTTTAGACTAATATATAGTTTTAAATCACATACGTTATTGGTGATGACAAGAAACAGCTTGGTATTTTGTCTTCTTTCTCCACCTATATTAAGAGAGGAGAGAGAGAAAAAAGTTCAGCAATGTTTCATTATGTGACTCAGCATGAGCACTGAATTAAGAATGACAAGATACTTTAGAGATAGGAGGATCACAGGCTGAAGGACAGCCAGGGCTACAAAGGGAGATCCTATCTCAAAAAAAAAAAAAAAAAAAAAAAAAAAAAAATCACAAGGGGCTGGAGAGATGGCCTGGCAGTTAGGAGCCTTGTTGCTCTTCCAGAGGCTCCAAGTTCAATTCCCAGCACTCAAACCAGGTGGCTTGCATCCCCCTGTAACTCCAGCTCTAGGGAATCTCTAACACCCTCTTCAGGCCTCCACGGGCACCCCCCGCAGATGGCATACATACAATGCACATAAATAAAAATAATTCTTCAAGACTACTATCCTCAGGCCTCTTGGGGTAAGTCTACAGCGCAGCTCTCCGCGCCCGGACTCCCTAAGCCACATTCACCCTTCCATCCCTCCCACCGTTCTATAATCCTAGTTCCGGCCCTGCGCCATTCCTAGTCTTGGGGCCCCAGACACCTGGGGAACCAATACTGCTTCCTGATCCTTCTCACCCAGACCAACTCAGTCCCTTTCTTGGGCTCCAGGAGCTCCGCTTCTGGTCCCGGCCCCGCCCTCACCCCTCTCTGCTTCCCTGGGCCTGCACCACCAGCTAACTCTCCTAGCCTGCACTACCATCCTCAGGCCTCTTGGGGTAAGTCTATAGCGCAGCTCTCTGCGCCGGGACTCCCTAAGCCACATTCACCCTTCCATCCCTCCCACCGTTCTATAATCCTAGTTC